GCCCAGCCACCCACTCCAGCTGTGCTCAGAGCCTGAACCCGCCCCTGGCTACCAGATGTGGCTCTGAATTTGGGAAAGTGGCTTTAATCTCCTGCCTGTCTGAGGCACGGAGGATGGGGCTGTGTCAGGCTCTGGTCTGGCTGGTCACTCACCTCACATCCCTCTGCAGATACAGAGACAAGGGTTGGTCCCAGGATGGCTCTGAGCTCTGTGATTTAGCCACAGCTGCCTGGGCTGTGCTTTTGCTGCCAGAAAGCAGAGATGGGGTTTAATGCAAGCTACGTGGTGCATAGTAACTCCCCTGCTGTCAGACCCTCCTGGGAACAGGCATTTGTGATTCCTCTGTGTAGTGAACCAGGTGAGAAAAAGGCTGGCCATGGTGGTGGGGGTGGCCTGCTCGGCAGCCATGCAACTGTCCTGTCCCACTGGAGAGCCGTAGCAGGACAGCTGCCACATGCTCGGGTCTGCCTGGGCAAATGCAGAGCTTGTGTGTGTTTGTGTGTGTGTGTGTGTGTGTGTGTATGTGTGTGTGCAGTGATGGTGGTGTTAAGGGCACAGAGGAGGCGTCTGCACCTCCTCCAGCACCTGCCGGCAGCTCACCCGGCCTCACCTTAAAACACACCAGGAGCCTGGATGTATTTTTCCTCATGTTTATTTCAAAAAGATGGCTCATTTAGCACTCTGGGCAGCCTTCAAATATAAATAACCCGTGCAGCACGTCCCCATGTTACCAAGGAATAAATTACAGTTCTGGGTTCCCCCTCCCATGCTTCCCTTTGATGTTATTGCCGTGGATACACTTATATGTGCACTTCACACCTAACAATCCAACCTCACCCGGAGCAGGTTTGCTGTACAGAGAACACCGGGACGTCCCTCCATGATGCTGAACCAGGCGGTGAAAACCCTCATTTGATGCATTATTCATTTTGAAAAAATTAAATGTGTTGAAAGACGTGCTGCCAAGGAACCGAGCCCCACCGTAAGCATAAGGACACACTCTGCCCTGAATCCCATGGGAACACACAGGCATCTGCCATCCCACAGGGACACGTAGTGCCCTCAATCCCACACGGGCACACGCTGCCCATCGCCCCGTAGGGACACACACCGCCCTCAGTGCCATAGGGGCACACAGTGCCCTCCATCCCATGGGGGCACAGCTGCCCACCGTCCCACAGGGGACACACGCGGTGCCCTCCCAGCGCACGGCACCCCTCGCGTGTGCCGCAGCGGCCCGGGGCGGGCGGGCTCTAGGACCCTGCCGGGCGGCGCTGCCGGCCTCACCTGCGGCGGGGCGGGGCCGGGCGGGGCGGAGCGGGAGGGGCGGGGTCACCGGGAGCGCGCGGCCCCGCCCCGCCCGCGCGCGCCGCCGCCGCCGCCGCCGTGTCCCCGCGCCTCCAAGATGCCCGGGCAGCGGCGGGAGGCTCCCGCGGCCCGCCGGTAGGTACCGGCACCGGCAGCGGGGCGGGAGGGGGCACCGAGCCCGGGGGGAGGGAGGCAGGCTCCCGCGGCTCGCCGGTAGGTACCGCCACCGGGGCGGGAGGGGGCACCGAGCCGGGCGGCGGGGCCCCGACGCGGCCCTTCCCGCAGGTTTGCAGCAAGTACCGGGGCTGGGGGGCTCCCGCCCTTCCCGGCAGCCGGCACCCGTGGCGGCTCCCCCCGCTCCCTCTCTGCTCTCCCGGCTGCGCCTGCCGGCCCGCCCCGGCACCTCCCGCCGCTCGGCGGGGACACCCGGGGGCCTGTCCCTGCTCGGCGGGGGCAGCCGGGCTGCCCGCGGCCTTCCCGGTCCCTCGGTTCGCAGGGAGCCGTCCTGCTGGGAAGCGGCGATGCGTTACCGGGCGGAGCGGGCACTAACTCGCCGGCCCCCGGATACCGGCTCCCTGCCCGCGCGTTTAGGGGACACTGCGCACACCCCGTCTCCCCCCGCCCTCCCCGTTCCCCCTCGCCCCGTTTTTCCCGGGGGACCGTGTCGCATCATTTTCGCCTCCCAACCCGCACTTGAGATCTCGGCGGTGTGCGGTGCCGGGCTCCCGCCGCTGCCGCAGAGCCGGTGCGGGGCCGGTGCTGCCCCGATCCTCGCCCCAGCGCGGCTGGAATCTGATAAACTCCGGGGCCATGGAAGTTAAATGGTACCGGGCTCCGAGACCGGCGCTCCGAGAGCCGCGGCAGAGACACGGCACAAGTGCGGGGTCTGGTAGCGCAGCCCCCCGATGCACCGGGGGACGTTCCCGGGGTATTGCCCGCGTTTTGGGGTGTCGCTGCTCGGCTGGCAGGCTGGCAGCGGAGCCTCTTTGCTGGCGCCGAGGATCTGTGGAGCTGCTGGAGAACGTGCCTGAGTGACACGCGAGAACGGAATTTCCTCGTCCTCGCGCTTTATTTTTGTGTTTCTCTTCAAAAAAACATCCCGACCGCAGGTTTATTGCCCCGATGTGCGCAGCTGGCGAGGGCTAGAGCACAGCTGGTAAGGGCTGGAGCGCGGCGAAGGGCCGCTCTGCCCAGCGGGCTGCGGAGTTTCTGGAGAGGGCAAACGGCTCTGATTGCTCCGTCATTCCCTCAAGTCCGGACACGCCGGCGTTAATGGCTCCTGCCCTTCCTGGCTCTCTCCCAGGCCTCCTCAGCCAGCCCGAAACCTCGGCTGAGCCTTTGTTGTCGGAAGGCGGCTTCAAGGAGACCGGCTCTGCCGGAGGAGCCGCCGCAGCCGGGCGGGAGCTGGCACAGCGGTGCCCGCCGGAGCACGGGGCACTGCCGGCACCCGGGTGGCAGGGGGGCACCGCCGGGCAGCGGCTGGCAAAGCTGGGGGTGCCACCAAGCCGTCAGCCTGCCTTCGGGGGGTCGTTGAGCGTGGATTCGAGCTGCTCCTCGACCCTCCTGATGTGGTCAGCAGTGCCCCTTGCACCCGAACACCCCGCTCCGGCAGCAGCAGCCCTCGGTCCGTGTCGGAGCTGACTCCGGCTCCCGCGGATGCCGTGGGCTCTGTGCTGAGGTTGTCACTGCTGCGTTTCGCCGGCGAGGAGCAGACTCGAGGCTCCTCGCTTGCCCTGACCGAGTGGTTACAGCACCGGCCGCGGCACGGAGGGCGAGGGGCTGGCCCCGGCAGTAGCGCTTGAAAGTGCGCCGAGGGGGTATTCCTTGAGGTTGCTCCTGGAAATAGACAGCGAGTGGGATAGGAGTACGAGCAGGAAGGATGAATTCAGGCCAACGGCAGCAGCGGCTGCTTCGGTTCAGGCAGGTGGTTACAGAGCCCTGGGTGTGTCGGCTGCTGCGATCGGAGCCGGGTCCGTGCCCTGCAGAGCCCTCCACGGCGGCAGGGAGGCCGTGCCTGTGCACCACCTGCATCCATCCTGCTTTGGAAATGCTGCTTTGGAAGAGAGATGGAGCTGCAGTGGGTGATAAATCCCTGCCTTGCAGAGTGTGCTCCGGGCAAGCTGTGCTGGCCTCCGTGGCACAGGCACGGCTCCGGGGGTGTGCCAGCAGTGGGTGTTGGTGTGTGTGCATGTCCGTGTTTGTGAGTGGGGTGGGATCGGCCCTGAGGCTGCACAAGATTGATAAATGACTTATTTTTAAAACTGGGATTATGTTGTTTCCTGCTCATCCCCTCTAGGGATGGAGAGATGTTTCTGAACCCTCACTGAGGTTTTCAGCGACTCCCCTGGGCTGTCTGTGGGTTTCTCAGCTGTTGGTCAGGGTTGCTGTAGTGGGGAGGGGGATTTGAGCCTGTTATCACTTGGGTCAGACCCTGGCTTCAGGGAGTCAACACATCCCAGAGCCTTGGTCACTGGTGACGACTGTGGCTCTCAGCTGTCCCATCAGAGATGCTGGAACCAGAACTGTTTCTGCAGGCTGCACAGCCAGTTCGTTAAGCGAAGCTGATGAGCACTGTGATTATTTTGTACCTCTGGAGGGAGTTGCTGCTGCCGATTAAAAAAAAAAAACCCTACCATAACAAACCCACCTTTGCCTCCTCAGAATCCCTCCCAGGCTGGTGCTCCCCTTGTTGGGGCGAGAGGGTCTGTGGCTACTTCCCTGAGCTCCCTCCTGTGGAGTGAAAGCCTCGGGGAGGCAGGAGCCTATGTGGCTGCTTTTCCTTGTTTTTAATATTCTTCCCCTGGAAAACAAGTGTGTGTTGGAGCCTAATGAGTACCTATCTGTACTGTCATCTTGTGCAAACGAGCAGCTCTGTCGGCCCCTCCGATTACTGAGTGGACACGTGGAGACGAGGATGAACTGGCCTCAGGCTGCTGCTTCCAGCACCCTCCCTTGCTGCTGTGAAGCCTGAATCCCAAAAATGTCAGGGCAAGAAGGTCAGCAGTGGGAGAATGGGGTGTCTGTGTGGTGCTCAAAGGCGCCTTGTGCTGTGCGAGGGCGGGGGGCTCTGGCAGCATGGGGGGAGCGTCTCACCCCTTGGATCCTGGGTGCCTGCCCGTGTTCTTACTCAGCACTGAAAACATTGGGTTGGATCTTTGTGCCAGCAGCCCTGGACCTGCCTCATCCATGGGTGCAGGGAGGGTGACAGTACTGAGCCCTGAGCGTGTGGCTTGGGAGGACATGGGGCAGAGCTTGGCATGCTGCAGTCCTGGCTTTTGGGGTGCCAGGGGTAGGGCCCTGCCAGCATTGTTGAGATGTGGTAGCTTTGGCATCTGGTCCTAGCCCCTGGCCCCCGGAGCGTGACCAGCAGCAGAATGGCCCCTTTTGTGCCTCTGGACATGCTGCCCTTTCTCAGGAAACAACCAGTTGTGCTCTCTGGCAGTGCTGGGCTCTGTCACCACCTCCACTCTGGCCCTGCCTTGTGTCCAGGCCCTGGGACCAGGCATGTCCTGTGGCCAGGCAGTGTCCAGGATGGGGACAGCCTCATCCTAGCTTTGCTGGGGCTCCCAGCTCACTGCTGGTGGGAAGGCAGCCCCCAGCAAGGCCCACCAACAGCGGGGAGAGGAGCAGGTTGCTGGCCCTCAGGACCACTGCAGTGTGGGGATGGAGCTTGGTGACAAAAACCTGGTGCAGCCAGGGCTGGGGGAAAGTCAGGCTGGAACTACTTTTCATCTCTTCTCTGTGCAGTCTCAGTCCTGTTGCTCGTTGGCCTCCGTGCAGCTCACTGGTCCCCATGCCACTGTGGGCTCAGCTTCCTCTCTGAGCAAACAAACTTGATATTCCCTGGGTGCTAGGAGAGCAGGGGGCATTCCTCTGTCACTCTGTCCCCTGCTTCCCTCTTGCCTTTGGAGTCCTCGCTCTAGCTGTCATCCCTCTCATAGAATCATAGAATGTACTGAGTTGGAAGGGACCCATCAGGATCATCAAGTCCAAGCCTGCAGAGGACACAAGAATCCCACCCTGTGCCTGAGAGCATTGTCCAAACATTTCCTGAACTTGGACAGGCTTGGTGCTGTGACCACTTCCTGTTCCACTGGTCTGCCACCCTCTAGGTGAAAAACCTTTTCCTGATATCTAAGGTAAACCTTTTGTCCCTGTCTCTTAAATTGAAATAGAAACAGCTTGTGGAGGTGATTCCCTCCACAAGTTTATTATTGAAACAGTTCTGGCTGGGAGGTCCCGGAGAGGAGCTGCTGCAGGAGCCCGACGTGGCTGCCAGGTCTTCCTGACTGGGTGGTGGCAGCTGGTTCGCTTCCTTTTGGGCATTTCCCGTGGGATTTCCGCCCTTGGACAGGAAGAGGGTGTGGATGGGGTCTGGTTGGAATGTGCCAGAGCAGCCTGTGACTGGATGGGGACGCTGCTGTCACCGTGCGGGCTTAATTGCTGCTGAGTTTTTTATACTCAGTAGAGAGACTGAAGGGAAATAGAGGGGGAGTTGTGCAGGGGTTTTGTTGTTTTTTGGGGGAGTTGGAGCTTTTGATTTTTCTGGGATTTTTTTTATACATGTTGAAGTTGTAAGCTCTTGGGTCTCAATACCATGTATTTTCTAGATCTCAGTGTCTGGGCTATCAGCTTGAGGCAGGGGGAAAAGGAAAACCCAGAGGCTTGTGAAAAACCAACGTGAGAAATAAATGGAAACTTGCTGCATCAATGAGACTCTGAGGGCAGATCCCAGGGATGTGTGTTGCAGCCATGCAGGAGCACGTGTAACAGGACTGTGTGCTGGCTGTGTTGGGGGTCCCACAGCTTTGCCTGCTTTCTGTGGGATCCTGAAATGAAATGGGCTCCGTGCCTCTGCAGAATGTCATTACTCTTGTTTATAACTGAAATTTGCGTCTAAGAGGGAAATGAATTGCTCAGTCTGTTTGTTTATTCCTCGTTTTGCAGACACAGGAACTAGACTATGTTGGGGTAATGGCCCAGAAATTAAATTTCACTTTAATGCACAAACCCAATTTTGAGTTGGTTGACCGAAGAGGAAAAAATTACCTTCAGGCAGGAGGCAGAGGCCTGGCTGGAACAGAGTTCAGGCCCAGTGCGATTGGTGTGAACTGGGGGAAGATCTGTGGGGGTACAGGGGAAGTGTGGACGTGTCAGCCCTCTGAGGTGCAGCCTGCAGCATCCTGTGACAACACAGCAGGGATATTGAGGAGTAAATTAGCTTTTTGCAGTTTCAAAGAGACACAGAGAGGCTTAAATGCGTTTCATGGATGATCCCCAAAGAACCCCATAAATCTGGCTGTGTTACAGGGCTGAGTGCAATGAGGCAGGGAAAGGCCATCTAAAGGGTGCTCAGGAACTTGGAGCACGGGTGGGCTGGAGTGGCAGCACTGGCATTTGAGCTCCAGGCATGGGGCTGTGAGCAGCTGCTCTGGTTCGCTGCCCGCTGGGCCTCCTGGGAGGGAGGAATTTGGGGCTCTGAGCCAGGCTGACCTGGCTCAACACATCGTTTAGGAGCAGGCTGGGTTTTTGGCTGGATGCTGCGCTGGCTCAGTCTACCCCCGTGCTGTCGTGCTGATTCTGAGCCCCGGTGTGATAATGTGACAGTGGCACTGGTGGCTGTGGTGCTCGTGCTGCCTGGGGTACTGTGCCCCTGCCCTGGGATTTGCTTTGCCCGCCAGGGTTTCCAAGGCTCCAGGATGTGTGGGAGCTGCTCTCTGGCCTTTCATCAGCAGTTTCTCTCCAGCACTGGCTGTAAGCAGATGGTTTGGGAGAGGGGGAATGAGGCACATGAGGGTGGCAGGGGTCTGCAGTCCCCATGCAAGGGGGAAAGGACGGGCACAGGAGCTTCACATCCCTCCTGTAAGTGCTCCAGAGCCCTGGTGCTGGACCTGTTTCCCATGCAAAGAAACAGATGTGGATCCAGACTTTGGAAGTCCTACACAAGATGATCTATCCTGGTGGAACCTGACCTTGAGCCAGTGCTCAAGGGCAGCTAGGGCTGCTGCTGGTCTGTTAACCCTGTTATTGCGGCTTTGGATGAGGCATCTGCACCTCCTGTTCTTAACTCCTTGCATCTGTCTGAAATCTCATGGGAGAAAGCGTGGTGGTTTTAACTCTGAGATTGGTGAAATGCTGCCCAGAGAGGCTGTGGAGTCTCCATCTGTGGAGGTGTACAGAACCCAGTGGGTCACAGTCCTGGACAGCTGACTCCGGGTGACCCCAGGTGAGTCAGTCTCCATTCCCAGAGCTCCCTGCAGACCTCAGCATTTCTGTGATTTGCTGGATTCTGACCTGGGAGCGTGGTGGTCCAGCGCAGCGCCCATGCTCCCCAGGTGCAACAGGAATCCCAAAGCTCTGGATTGCTGCAGAAATACGTTGGCTCAGGCCACATAATGGCATTTTGTTTATCTTAAGCAGCTGATGCTTGAAGCCGGCGCTGGGGAGCTGTGGGAGCTGCTCTGGATGCACGTCCCGGGAGCATCCTGTGCGCACGTCGGCGTCTCCCCAGCCCCGGCTGGAACACGCAGGCTCCTGTGGCAGCACCGTGTTGCCAGGGATTCTCCCCCCTCTCCATGCTATAGCGCTGCTGGCAATTCCTGGAGCTGAATGGTGTGTGCAGGGGCTGGAGCACTGAGTGAGGATCCTGACCAGCTTAGAAAACTCCACGGGGGCCCGGCCTTGTGCTCTCCGTTCGTGCCTCGCTGCCTGCGTTGCTGTTCTCCCCTCCTAGAAATGTGTTCTCGGTTGTTTTTTGATTTTTTTTTTTTTTCCTGCTTGGATGTTTTCCCTGGCTGCAGTGGCTCCAGCTCTGCTCCCTTGTGCTGGAAGTGTTTGTGTGCCTGTAGGAAGGAGAACGGGATAGGGTTTGTCTGGCAGGAGGGTGGTGAGTGCTGAGCTGTACGACTGTGAGGAGCAATCCTGCCACAATCCTCTTCCTTGTCGCATTCCTTCTCCTTCATGACTGGTGGTGGGAGATGGCCTTGAGGCCAGTGGGCACCCAGATGACGTGCCTGAAGTTCTCTGAGATCCCTGCTTCTCTGTGCTTTGCCTCTCAGGTTTGCTTTCCTCCTGGGAATTCTCACATTTCTCCATAATGAGGGCTGGCCTCTCCCAGCAACAGGCTCCTTGTTTTTATCCTCTGTGATTTTTCTTGGCCCCTAACCTGATCCTTCTTGGTCTGCCTGTTCTCCCAGCATTTGGGCTGCCTTGTGCCAGCTGTGAGAACTGGTGGATAGAGCAAAACTGAATTTCTGGGAATGGCATTGGGCTGGTCTGTGGCTCTGTTATGCTGCAAAAGGAGGATCCCAACTTCTGGGGTTGAGTGGGTGCTTGTGCTGTCACCTCCATGTCTGCTGTCTCTGTGTGTGACCCATTTGTGGTTTTCTGGCATTAAATCTTCAGCTTTTTTCCATCCCTTTATTCTGAGTCCTTTAGCAGCTCAAAGTCATGAATAGTCATCGCTGTGTTATGGCCCTGTGTGTTGGGAAGTGACTGGGATGCTCTGCAGGGTCACCCATCAGTTGCAGGGTGATGTGTGTCACTGAGGGAGATGCCACGGGGCTGAGGACTCCTCACAGCCCCTGGCTGGGGACAGGATCCAGCTCTGGTGCTGGCCTGGTGTCCTTGCTGCATGTGGGGGTGTCAGGAGAGGGGACTTGGAAAGCTACTCTCCTTGGATGAGAGAGACCATCAACATGGCAGGCTAATTTATATTTTACATATAATATTATTTTTTAAACTCTTTTGCTCCTGCCAGTACTTTCCCAAACCTCTGACCAGCATTGTGGTCAGTCCCAGAGTGACCCTGTAGAATGCTGTGCTCCCTCCAGCATCCCAGGAATTTGTGTCCATTTGTCATTCCTCAGCAACGAGCTTTGCTGCCTGCCTGCAGAGCCACAGCAGCTTCCCATGGGGAATCAGGAGTGTCGGATGCTCTCGGAGGCGAAGGCACCTCTGTGTGTCAAATCCCAGCCCCTGCGAGGCTCTGGCGTGTTCTGTGATGGTGACAAATGCAAAATTGGGAGTGTTTTGGGTTCCTTTCAGATCTTTAAAGAACTCGTTGGAGTACGAAAGCAGGTATTGTCTGTGCCGTGCCTCTTGTCACTAGAAGCCTCTGCCTCCCTCCGGCAGCCCGTGGGGAGGCAGCAGGGATGACAGGAGGAAATTACCTTTGTAGTTACCTGCTTTATCTCCTGAATCGCATCTGAGCAGAGCTGAGAGGGGTGGCGGGCAGATCCACAGCCCCTGCATGCCCCCAGCATTATTTTGGCTGCCCCTTGGGGAAGGGAGCAGGACTTTGGAGAGATGCAGTGTGGTGGAGCCGTGCTGGCCAGGGAACAGGGGTGATGGAGGCAACGGCGTGGTCTGAATCCTCCAGGGACCGGGGATTGGGGATGCTCGAGTTGTTGGGAATGCTCTGGGATGCAGCCTGTACTGGGTTCAGGGTATTTCCCTGGTCCTTCTCCGCAGGCTGATCCAGGGGATGACAGGGTGAGCTGAGTGTTTCTCCCAACTGTGTGCACTCCAGACCTGCCTTGAGCTCGGTGGTTCATCCCCAGCCTGGCATGAGCTGTGGGAAGCTGCGTCCAGAAGCAGCACAGGCGTGCTGTTGTCCTTAGCTCAGGGAACATCTCCTGAGGGGTTAGGGAGCGAGCCTAGGGCTGATCCCAGAGGATGGGGAGTGTGGCATTGCTGGTAGAGCATCCTTTGATGTGCCTCAAAGTGTGAGGGACACTGCTGTGGGTGTCTGTGACATTCCAAGCAGAGGATGGGACGTGGGGACAGGCAGTGGCTCCGAGCCAGGGGAATTGGTGCTTTTTTGTTTATAAATGTATTTTATTTAGAGCTAAAGGGCAAAAGTGCTCCTGTGTTGCAGTGGTGAGGGCAGAGAACCCTCTCCAAGGGGATGCTAATGGTTCTGAGTCACTTCAGAGCGAGGGAGCATTTTGTCTTGAAAGGCTTTAAATGACCTGTGTAATGTGCTGGAAAAACCTCCGGGGAGCACGGGGTCCCTCTGTCATTCCACAGCGCCAGGAGGAGGACTGGGAAATCTGGCTGGCGTATGGAGCACTCCCGAGGGGCTGGGGTAGGAAAAAGGATTAAAAATTGCTGTGATTTGAAAATAAGCCCTGGTTGG